GGGGGCGGTGACCCGGGCCGGGGGCCGCCGCCGCTGCTGCTGTTTCTGGGAGCCACGCTGGTTTTCGCTGCCGGGGCCGCGCCAGGTAGGAACCGACCGGGACCTGGGCGGCCCTCGCGCCCCACCCCCGGACCGGGGTCTCGCTGCCTTCGGGTACCGGCGGAGTCCGCGAGCTGTGACAAGGGGGCGGGGGTAGCGCCTGGGCCGTGGCCAGGGCGGTGTATGGGGCGCGCAAGGAGGTGAGGGGCGTGCAGGAGGCAGGGAGGCGGGGGCAGCACCGGCCCGGGATTGCGGACCGCGGTAAGGGATGGGGGCGGGGCCTGGAGGTGGGGCGGGGCCTAAGGGTGCGACTTCGGGGCGGGGCCTGGAGGTGGGGGTGGGTTGTCGGGGAGTAAGACTTCAGGACGGCACTCAAGCTGGGGTCGGCCCTGGCCTGGCCTTTTAAGACTGCAGGTCGAGTGGGAAGCCTGAGTGGGGAAATGTTGAACTGGGTGTACAGTGTTCCCAGGCCTGAGAGGGCGGGCCCAGGGACTGGGTTTAAAGATGGGGGCGTGGCCTTGGGATACCTTGAAGCGGCTGCAGAGGGACGGCCCTGGTCTGGGAGGACGAGCCGCGGCGGGGCGGAGCCCAAGGGCCCTGCGCGCGTCGCTGCCCTGACGCCCCGCCCCTCGCCCTCCTGCCCACAGCGCGTGAGGTGGGCCGCGCGGTCGAGGCCACGGAGCCGGTGAAGAGCATCCCGGCGTGGGAGCCGCGCGCAAACGACACGCGGGAGGGGGCCGGCCCGTCAGCGACTGGGGAAGACGAAACCGCGTGGACGGCGGCCGCCGACGAGCAGGCGGCGGTGGGCCCCGGGGTCGGGCCAGAAGCGGCACTGGAGGCGTCGGCCGCGGTGACAGGCGCCGCCTGGCTGGAGACTGACAGCCCCGGCCTGGGCGGAGTGACCTCCGAAGTGGGCAGTGGCGATGCCCAGGCCCTCCCAGCCACACTCCCTGCTCCCGACGAGGCCCTGGGGCAGTCGTCAATACCCCACGCCACCCCCGAGGCTAGCGGGCCACCCTCCCCCACCCCTGGCAACAAGCCAAGCCCAGGCCCTGAACTCCCGAAGGAGAGGCCCCTGGAGGTTTGGCTGAACCTGGGAGGCAGCACACCTGGCCCTCATGGACCAGAGCCCACGTACCCTTTTCAGGGCACGCTGGAGCCCCAGCCAGCCTCAGATATAATTGACATCGACTACTTCGAAGGATTGGATGGGGAGGGCCGTGGTGCCGACCTGGGAAGCTTCCCAGGGTCACTAGGAACCTCGGAGCACCACCCCGATACCGACACTGGGGGAGAGACACCTTCATGGAGCCTGCTTGACTTATACGATGACTTCACTCCCTTTGATGAATCTGATTTCTACCCCACCACCTCATTCTATGACGACTTAGATGAAGAGGAGGAGGAAGAGGAGGATGACAAGGATGCAGTGGGAGGTGGAAACCTGGAAGATGAAAATGACCTTCTGATGCCCACCAGGAAGCCTGGCCTGGGGCCAGGGGCAGGCCAGCCCACTAGTCGGTGGCATGCTGTCCCCCCACAGCATACTCTGGGGATAGTCCCTGGCAGCAGCATTGCTCTCAGGCCCCGCCCAGGAGAGCCAGGCAGGGACCTGGCCCCAGGCGAGAATGGCACTGAGTGCCGCAGTGGTTTTGTGCGACATAACGGCTCCTGCCGGTCAGTGTGTGACCTCTTCCCCAGTTACTGTCACAATGGCGGCCAATGCTACCTGGTGGAGAACATAGGGGCCTTCTGCAGGTAAGGGTGTGGCAGACAGGTGCCCAGGGGCTTCTAAAAGAGCACCTGAAGAGTGTATGTGAGGCAGACTCAGCTAAGAGGGGAGTGTGACAGGCACAACATCCAAAAAGTTATATTCACAGGATTCCCAGGTCAAGAAATGTTCACTCAGATATTTTCTACAGAGTCACTTCTTAAAATGTACTTCTTGTGATTTCATCACTAGCAGAGGTTCCTTAGAAATAAGAGTTGTTGTTTTTTTTTTCTTTAACCTTTGCAGGGGTAAGGAGTTTTTGATGGAGAGTTCTATTATGGCTGTACTAGCAAAAAGAGGATGGGCCCATGAACCTACTCTGTAGGAAAGTTTGCTGCTGAACACTCCAAGTCATGTGTATGGCAGGAGGGCCTAGTCTGCCTGAGTGGGATGTGTAGGGGGTAGACATGTAAACTCAGAAGACCTTCTCACTGGGAGCAGACCCAGAAGAGCAGCCACTCAAGTTGGGAAAATTGAGCTGAGAGTCTTTCCTGGTGTAGCATATATGGTAGGGTTTCTTAACTTTGGGTGGTGGCTTTTTCTTTCTACCCTAAGGTTTGTCTTCCTTGGGATACCCAACCCATAATGTTTTTAAAGATCAGAGAGCTTAGTATCCCTAAAAACTTTGTCTGCAGCTGCTGTCCCATGCCTCATCAGGTAATCACTCGTTCACCTTCATTCTTGGGAACTGCCCTCACAGCGAGTTATTTAACAGTGCTGGAGAGCTTGCTGACTTACTCTGGAAGAATCACAAGTCAGAGGTGATCTGGATGGTTTACTTGTCTCTCTATCTTTTACTGCCCCTAGGAGTGGAGTAGAACCCTCACACTCCTTTGAGCTTTGTTTCCTCTGTTCCTAGGAGGAGCACTTCTGTTACCTAAGCGTCTCTTTTTTTGTATCATTCCCAATATTGTTTTCATAGTCTAATTTGAAAGTATGTCAAGAATTGAAATTCCTTAGGTCTTGATGTTCTAATGAGAGAATAACACATAGAAAGCAATGAATACTGAATCTTTGGCATAGAAGCTTGAGTTCCAGTCCTTTTTATAAAGTTTTTTTATTTGTTTGTTTTTTAATAAATGATCATGACATTAGGGTCACTGATACAGGGTGTGACCACAGAGTTCTGGTTGGAGTCATCCAGCCATTACCACGAAGAGGGGGTGTGATCAAGAAATTATGGCAACAAGAAGCTTACCAGTTGGTTAAGGGCTACCAGAAATAAGGGGAAACTCCGTGATTCTGCTCTTCAATCTCCAGCTTGGGGTACTACAGTGATGATTTCAGCCTGGAAGCTGTGGAATCTCTGCCAAATCATCATCTTTAATCCTGTTGGAGGCCTGGAGTTTTTTCCTTCAAAGTGAGCTCCCCATGAGAGGATGAGATTTGGAGCCCTTGCTGTCTCTGGAGTCCCCAGAGCCTCCTGGAGCTCTCAGGGGATTCCCAAGTGGAAGAGGAAGGTTTTCCTCCTCACTAAACTACACGGCTTTGCTGATAAGTCCACCAGTGTGTCACTGCCTTAGAAAGGCTTCTCAAGTCCACTTCAGCTCCCCTTGCTCGGCTTGTATCCCAGGATCACACATGGGCCTCCCTACCAGAGGTTCCTCTTCTGGCTGTGTACTCTTAGCCTGGCTAGAGAACTGTTTTGCATTCCACTCACAGGAGACTGCTGAGTCTTTAGTTGCAGACTGCAGCATGCCTTTGTCTCTGTCACCCTGACCCACTGCAGGAAAACGATCAGAGCTGTGGCAGAACTTCTCTAGAACAGTGAGTTAGAGGGCCCCTCTTAGAAGGAGATGCATTCCCTGGCATCCTCAGACAGCCTCCCTGTGACTGCAGAGGTTCATTTGAAGAAGAAAGAGGAATTCCTTATTAGCCATGTCTCCCCACCCAATTCTGGATGTAGAGTAGCCAATTCTCCCGGGCATAGTTTCCCCATTTCTGGACCCCTTTCTGTCATTCACCCTGAGGTTCATGTCCTTCCTCCTTTGCCTGCCTCTGTATCCTTCCACATCTTTCCTCTTTGAAGCAGCCTGGTTCCCATGGAAACAGCAATGTCATTGGAAGAGTTGGAGCCTGGGAATGTCCCCAAGGGCAGGAGAAAGTCACTCAACAAAAGGGCTAAAACCCACCCAGAGGAGTGATTCTCACTCTGTTTGCATGACCGTTCTCATGGTAATGGAGTAAGGAACTTTAGGGGCAGTACTTGGGGCTGCCGAGGTAGGAGGAGAATATACATCCATCTTTCTGTTTGTCCTTGTCTGCCACTTCCTTATTTTTCAGTGTCTAGCTAGCCACATGAGCTAGATGGGACTGCAAAGCAACAGATCACTTTTCATGTGCAGCGCAGATCCTAGCATTTTGTAGCCGTAGCTTCTATTCATTTTGTTTTCCATCTCTCTTTTGCCCAGAGCCCAGGGCAGGGAGGGGCCTCAGAGAATCCTGTGATTGCCCTCATTGAGACTGTCAGGCAGAAGGCCAGGATTCCCTTCCCTCTTCGGTCACTTAACGGTCATGTAACTTCAGTTACCTCACTTGTATCATGGACCTCCGAGCCACCAGTCCACTTCATAGGTGGGTTGTAAAGATGGGGTGAAAATATCAATTAGAAAGTGTGTACAGATATGGAGCATTCCAGTCCCTCTAGATTGTCATAGGAACAGGCTATTGAGGTAATTATTAGGGTCAAGCGCCAGGTCCTGGCTGCGGCTGCCAGCTCTGTCGCCTCAGTCTCCCCCATCCCTGCTGCAGGTGCAACACGCAAGACTACATCTGGCACAAGGGGATGCGCTGTGAGTCCATCATCACCGACTTCCAGGTGATGTGTGTGGCCGTCGGCTCGGCTGCCCTTGTGCTGCTCCTGCTCTTCATGATGACGGTATTCTTTGCCAAGAAGCTCTATCTGCTCAAGACGGAGAATACCAAGCTGCGTAGGACCAAGTAAGTCTGTGTCACCCAGCCTCACGTGATGGGAGGCACGCTGACCCCTGACCCCACTGTGCCCCTCCATCTGATCCAGAGATGTTGTCATAAGGGTCTCTGGCACCTGCTACTCAGCAACATTCCCAACACTATCACCATCCCTCTCCCCACACGGCAGGGAGGGTGCTTAAAGAAAAGCCAGCATATAGCAACTCCAAGCTCTATTTCCCAAGTAAGTTACTGTGCTCAACTTTCCCTGCCACCACCACCCCCTGCCTTCACCGGCTTCCTGGTCTTTGACCAGACCAGTATGAGGATTCCACTCATAAATCAGTGTGAAGAAACTCCCATCTCCCTCAAGTCTGCTGTCACCTCAATACCACCTCCTTCTCAATGAATGCTGAAGAGAAAAGGTTTCGCACCACAATGCATTGCTTTTTAAAAGCTTGCAAACCCCTGGTGCAAACAGAAGTGCAAGAAACTTAAGGAAATTCTCTACCTCTCCTGAGTAACATTTGGTGGAGGCGCTAGGATTGACCCTCTACACTACAGATCTTAAGGGCTCAGTTCAGTCCTTCCCTTAGCATAGCAGTGACTGTTGTGTGTATGTGAGCATCACCATGTGTTTACCCTTTAAGTCCATGCTTTGAATACTTGAACCTGCTCTTACATATAGGAGAGAGTCACTCTTAAACACTAAGCAAAACAAAAAACCCTTCTGAAATGTCACAGTTGTCACAAGTGGAGGAGATTTGAGCTCAGCTTCCTTGGGCCCAGGAGACAATTTATGCAGAATTGCCCCCACCTCCCTTCTAACCTGTTGGTCTCATTCATCTCCTCCCCCTGACCTGAAACTCCCTTCAGAGAATGACTGAAGGACTTTCCCTGAGTCCTGGGAAAAGGACAAAACACCATCTGTTGCTCCTTTGCTGGGTAGACACATGCAATGTGCAGATGCCAGCAGCTCTCTGCAGCCTTTCAGCTAACTGTAGTGGGGCTGAAAGGGCCCCTCCATTGTGCCTGTGCATTGAGGCAGGGCCGTATCTGTGCATGTGATCACTCTGGAGAGACACATGCCAGGACCCTATACCAAGGGCCTGGGTGAGCAAGGATGTTCAGAGAGGAGGGAGATGGGACCGCCAAAATGGGGGCAGCTGCTGATGAGGATGGAGGAGAGAAAGGAGCAGCTGCTAGGGGAGTGGAGAAATGAGACCTGTGGCCAGAGACAGGTCCTTATTCTAGGCCCTCCTCCCCCAGCCAGCTATAAGTTTTGCACAGAGCATGGCTCCTGTACCCCTTCAGCTCAGATACCATCTCCCCTGTTTCTCTCTGAATACTTTATTTCTTTCCCAAGCCTGGCTTCTGCTCTGTAGTAGTGCCCAATGCACTACAGATACTGCTGGAATTTATAGATTCTAAGACAAACACTTTCTTCACATATTAACATCTCTGAAATTGGATTGTGTCTTTTGCTGGCATCTCATAATCACTATTGGCCAGATGGCAGTCATGATGTAGTTGTAACTGCCTGGCATGCACGAACATGGTCATAGCTGTTCATATTGTTGTCAGTTCTTCATCTAAAGTCTAAATTAGCTGCTTCAAGTATAAAATAAAACTTCCAGGTGCTAAGAAAGTATTGGATTATTTAAATGGTAAAAGTTTTTTTCTTAATGGTGGATCTTATTACAATCCATGGCATTTGATGAAATACAATATTTGATGAAACATTACTACTATTGTTAAACTTTGCTATAATCATTTCACTTATATTTTCCCTTCTGTCTTCTGTCCTAATCAGCAAATTCCGGACCCCATCTGAGCTCCACAACGATAACTTCTCCCTCTCCACAATTGCTGAGGGTTCTCACCCAAATGTAAGGAAACTTTGCGACACTCCCCGTACCTCCTCCCCCCATGCCCGTGCCTTGGCTCACTATGATAACATTATCTGTCAGGTAACTTGTCTTCTTCACATCTCTCCTTATGCATGCTTCAGCTCCCTTCCCATGTCTTTGGTCTGTTTCAGAGTGTGTAGCCTCATCAGAACCCTGGAGATCAGCTTAGGGCAATGGGCTGGGTCATGGAAGGTGGAAGGGGAGTAAAGGCTTGATGATATATCACTTTCTTGGCAAGAAGAGTTATAGGTAGTAGAAAAGATTTTTTTCTAGGACAACTCAATTTTCAACTTCATCAAGGCTTCAGAAATCTGATTACTGTGTTCCTACTTTTCATATCAAGGAGAAACGGCTCTGCTTTTACTGCTGGGGAATTTCCTGATGGTCAGTGAAGCAAATGGTAGTTGCTCCCTGGGATGGGTGGAATAGGACCTTTGGGTTCTTGACCCTATTTGTGGACCCTAAGAACAGTCAAGCTTATTTATACACAACTGGATAGGACCAGAGGTGAGCACAAAATAGTGGTGGAACCATAGAGCATAAGTCTAGGGGTAAAAGTCAGATTCTGTTGTTAGAATAATGGGCTCAGAAATATCAGTTGAGACCAATAAAGGATCTCTGGACCCCAATAGCCACCACCCGTCAGTTTGTCATGCTATGGTGGCTTGCATGTTGCTATGATGCTAGAAGCTATGCTACCAGTATTTCAAGCACCAGCAGGGTCATCGATGGTGGACAGGTTTCAGCAGAGCTTCCAGACTAAAACAGACCAGGAGGAAAAGCCTAGCAATCTACTTCTGAAAATTAGCCAATGAAAACCCTATGAATCACAACATAATTTTGTTCAATATAATGCTGGAAGATGAACCCCTAGGTTGGAAGGCACTACACAATGACCACAGCAATGGACTCAGACATGCCAACAATCATGAAAATGGTGCAGGTCTGGGCAGCGTTTCCTTATGTTGTACATGGGGCCGCCATGAGTGGAGCTGACTTGATGGCAACTAACAACAATAACAGCAGACCCCAATAAACCATTTTTGGTCCAGTGTGTTGCCTGGAACAGACTGACCAGTGAAATACTGGATACCATCAGAGAGAATTTTGAAAACAAAACAGAATCCATCCTAGCCCCAAATCATGTCACATCCAAATCCAAAAATCCTGCACGTAATTGCAGCTCCATACCTCAAGATAATGCATTATTACACAGATTAGGAAGCTAAACTGAGACTTTTCACACTGAAACAATGACGTTTAAGAGAAAATTTTGAGGAAGTTCTTTGAAATAATGGAGTATCAGAACTTATAGAAGCCTTAAAAGTCTATACCAGTGCTGTCCGGTGGAACTTTTGGTGAGACAGAAATATTCTATATCTGCACTTTCCACCACAGCATCTGCTGGCTACATGTGACTACTGAGCTATTAAAACACGGCTAGTGCTGCAGTATTGGACAGCACATATCTACACCATTGCCTTTGTTTTATAGATGGGGAAACTGTGGCCCCAGAAGGAGGAAGAGAGAATAATAATAAATGTGACCTTGTTTACCAAATCCCAGAAGAGGAAAACTTGGCCTGGTGTGGGTGAAGTCAAGGGGTTTATTTAAGTATGAAATGAAACAGGTCAATTTAGGATAATTAAAGTCCATATAAAGAGTCAAAAAGGAATAGATACCATTTTACTTGGTGTGCCCCAAGATATGAATAAGCTAAAGATAGCTATAATTACCAAGGAAACAAAATGTCTTACAGACTTTAAGATTGATAACCACAGTCAACTCACAAGGACATAAACACCTTCAGGACAGGTCAGCATCTTGCTCATCTTGGTATATACTACATCCCTACCTTACCCAGCCCCTTGTAGTGATTAGTATGCACTCAGTCAGCATTTATTGAACATTAGTGAATGACAGTCTACCACAAAGTATCTTGTTTCCACCATCTGGTCTGCCGTTTTGTACGTGTGGGGCAGGTATTTTGACAGTATGGTAGTTCCTACAGTCAGGGTATTCGTTATTGACAGTTAATTCCTCCTACCACTCTGCCTGACAGAGCTCAAGGGTCCTTAGGAAAGTTTCTGACCCATGCATTTCTGGTCCAACATCCCTATCACAGGTACAGATACCTTTTCTCTTTATAAAGAGGGAGGGGAAGGAAATAGCTTTTCTTGGGGGGCTTGATTGCATGAGCCAGTACAAAGATTTCTTATCCTCTTTGGTTGACCCCGCTTTGTGGAAAGCAAAGCATTTGTATATGAAAGCTACCACTCACTTGAGTTCAGAATATGACTAGTCTTGAAAATGGAGTGGAGCAGGGGTGGTCAGTCATGGTGGACTCTGCCTTGAGGAGGGACTGTGGGAGGGGCTGGGGCAGCAAGCTCTGGTGGTCTCCTCTGCCTCTTGGATCTAGAGGATCATTTTCAGCTGGCATCCTTTATTCAAGTTGTGCCCAAGGGGACATCCTCTGCTCTCTGCAAAGGCACTGGGAGATGAGGGGGTGACTATCCCTCAGGGAGTATACCGGTGGATTTTCTAAGTTCACCTCTAATTCTCTCCGCCTAGTCTAAAGGTCAAACATTGACAGTTAAGATGATTGCCACTTTGATGTGAAGTTCATTGCTTCAACCATCACATTGATTGCTTACAAGTGGTGTTAGCAGGAGGCTTAAAGTGAGAAAGCCTCTGGGGTGAGCAGAGAAGTGCAACTTAGGACATCAAAGTCAGGCCTGCTGGTTTGGTCTCTCCCTATCCCTCACCCTTTACTCTTCAGATTTACTTGCTGGTATTCGTGTTTCCCAAGATTTTAGAGAGATCTGTTTATCTTAATGGAGGAGTTATTTCTTTTATAGAAGTAAGGCAGATTGATTGGGTCATTTTCCTGCTCTGTTCCAATAATCTCTACAAGTCACGCTCTGAAAAGATTTCGAACAAAAAAGTCTGTGGTGGGGCCGGATCAGTTGCTGGTATCTGTGTCGGTGGCACTTCCCTTCCCTCTCTGCTGTTCAGTGTTGCCGGTGTTGCCTTGCTCACGGGCCCTCCTGAATGGGTGCTAGGCGCTGGAGCTGGTGGCCATTGTCTGAGTCTGTAAGTGAGTCTCTTGGGTAGCTGAACAGCCAACCTCGAAAGGGAACACTAGAGAAAAGGGAAAAGCTTGAGACTCCTCAGCACCGCTTTGGAGGTTTGCAAGCTTTCCAGGAGGAATGCTGAATGTGTCGGAAGCTGGATACTCTCCAGGTGCACCGCATGAATGAAGTTGAAGTCACCTGAAACCCACAGGCAGACTGCCCAAACACTGAGAGCTGCCCTGTAGGTCCTCAGAGCTATGCTGTCGAGGGAATGTTGTGGATATAAATTGGGTCCTCCTAAAATTTGACAGGCCCTCCAGGACACTTCGGTTTGTTCCTAGGATTTCTCCATGATACCCCTTAGAGCTTTGTTTTTTACTATTCAAATCTTTCTTACTTTCCAGACTCTGTCTTTTCCATGTGTTTGATAAAGCACTGACTGCCCCCCTCTCTGGTAGAGGTTTGTGTCTGGACAAGGAGGGTCTAGGCCTGAACCCACATTACCCCTGGGCTGAAGGATGCTCATATGGCTGGGATAGAACGCCAGGGCGGGAGGGCACAGTAGTTCCCAGGACTTATGCCAGATGGTAGTCCAGCTCTCCCGTGATGAGGGACTTCTGCCAAATCAAAGGCAGATGGGGCTTTCTGTTGTGGGATTCAGCAACTCTAGGCTTAATAGGATCAAGTTCTTGCAGAAACACTTGGGTTAGCAGTTCTGTTTGTTGGAGGTACTTAGTTTGTCTAATAGGATTGTTGGATACCTGTGCTCCTTACTTTTAGAATATGTTGCTGCCACCCCTTGGCCCAGAAGCAGTTTTCTCATCTGTCCAAATCTTGTGAGCCCTCAAGGGGCCAGGTTTAAGGGGCCCCTACCTTCATGGCATCACAGCTTTGATGCCCAGGTTTATGAGGGACTAAACCCACTTTTTTTCACATTAGCAGAACGTTCTTGTGCTTAAGTATACCCCAAAAAGGAGAGGCAAGTATGGGCCCTCGTATCTTGTTCCAAGTTTTACTGTGATTCAAAGTCCATCCTACCCAGGATTTTAATGCCCCAACTCTCAAGCCTCCATGCCCATTGTCTTCTCCCAAAACAGTATAGAAGTACAGGAAATAAAAAGTGTAGTTCTACCACATCCCACTTCCCTCCCCATAAAATATGTATATATTTGTGTACACATGCACATGTATATCCTATATTTTTAAAACATAATAGGTTCTCACTATATATATGTTCTACCTCTTACTTTTTGTACTTACATCATGGAGATCTTTCCATCTCAGCAATGTAGATTTATGTGACTGAAAAGTTTTTTCTGAATCTCTCCAAGCAGTGATTGAAAATACCAAGTGCCTATGGGTGCCTTGCACACCTGCCCTGCATGCAGTCTGCCTCAGTACTATATTAAGTTCATTTCTTCTTGTTTTTGCCTCACTGTCTATAAATCATGTCTGAAATCTTTGAAACTCACTATCAAATTACTCTGCTCAAGCTATTCCTCTGGAAAAGTGTTAACTTACCCTGGGAATAATGAACAGGTAACAGTGATTCCTATATGTACAGTACTTTTGAGCTCCCCTAGTGCACTATAAGGAACCCTGGTTGCACAGTGGTTAAAGTGCTCAGCTGCTAACCAAGAGGTTGACAGATCAAACCAGCTGCTCCATGGGAGAAAGATGAGGCAGTCTGCTTCTGTAAAGATTACAGCCTTGGAAACCCTATGGGACAGTTCTGTTCTGTCCTATAGAGTTACTATGAGTTGGAATCAACTTGACAGCAGTAGGTTTGGTTTTGGGTTAGTGCACTATACACATAAGCATCATGGAAAAGCCTGGAGCCTTTCCCTACTTTCTTTCCAACCAATCACTACCCTAACCTAGTGTTCTTATGGGTCAAACTCAGTAGCAGGCAGCATGGACAAGAGCTCACTAGAGTTTTATGGAGAATGCTCTGGTCCTTGGTAGTGAGTTGATTTGTAGAAGTGGTTAAAACAAGAAGTCTTAGCTCACTGGTCAGATAAGGACGTTCTCTTTTTTTCTTGCCACCCATCAATCGGCCTGAGTAGTTGTACAACGTCTGGTTAGCAGAGTTGCGAGCATTTACAGTAGCTGTTTGGGGTACCAAAGAAAGAACTGAGACCTGCTGACTCTCCACGGTTCTAATCCCTTCAAGTAAGCCCTAGGAAAGGAGTAGTGGTAAGATAGGAGTTGCTGTAAAAGTTCTTTGAATGTCCAGAATGTGGGCTTGGAGGACTGTGTGCCATGAGGGTTTCCTGATAACCCTTAACAAGCAAATTCAGTTCAGGTTCAGGAGCTTGCATAGGGCTGAATGCAGCATTACGTGGATTGGCACGAGGGTGTGGGTATACTGAAGAACCAGCAGCATGGATGCCGTTTGATGCAGAAAATGGCAGGCCATTGAGGCAACAGGACTCATTCGAACATGGCACTTGGATTGAGGAAACACCTTTTTAAGTATCATCTTTTGGTAGGTAAAGGTCTAATAGTAAAAGGTCTCTAGTCAGAGAATGTATATTTGCTGTGGATGGAGGGGCCCTGGCTTTGCCAGGGCAGCCCTGCACCTGACCATAGCTCTGTGAGTGCGCCACTATATGCACTGATGTTTCCTGTCCAAGACCTGCCTGGGAGAGCAGAACACAACGCATTGGAGAGCCAGAGGAAAGAGGGGCCGTGTAGGCCCACCAAAGCTCATCAACATGCAAGACTTTACAGAGGCCCAGGAGCTCTGGTGGCGCAGTGGTTAAGTGCTTGGCTGCTAACCAGAAGGTTAGAACCTACCAGTGGCTCCTTGGGAGAAAAGACGTGGTGATCTAAAGATTATAGCCTAGGAAAATCTATGGGGCAGTTCTACTCTGACCTATAGGGTCGCTATGAGTCCAAATCAACTCAATGGCACACAACAACAAGGGCCCTCTAAAGGAACAGTATTAAAAGGGACTTTCTTCCCAATCTTTGTCTAAGAGAAAACCTTGGACTGGCCCAAATTAAAAGTATTGTAACCGAGTTACCGGGCAAATTTTCATTTATATCTGGCCATTGCTTTTAAGGGTGAATTTCCTAAAAAGTAGCTGCTAATCGGTTATTTTTGTTCATTCAAGTCTTAAAGCTTTCTTCCTTTTTTCAGTGATACTTCTTTCAGCCAGATAGAATTTTCATTTGATTGCTATAATCATTGTCTCTTTCCCTCTACCCCCCGCCCCACAACTTTTTTCCTCTTCCAGGATGATACAAGTGCTCCCCACAAAATCCAGGAAGTTCTCAAGTCTTGCCTGAAAGAGGAGGAGTCCTTTAACATCCAAAACTCCATGTCGCCCAAACTTGAGAGTAACAAAGGTGACCAGGCTGACTTGGATGTGAACTGTCTGCAGAATAACTTAACCTGAAGCGGAGCAAGAGAAAAAGAAACGGGGGGAGGGGGGAACATTATCTCCTCTTGTACAGAGTCTATTTCTTGTAACCATTTGTTAAACCCTTTTCTTTTTCTGATCTCATGGCATGCTTTGACATATTTTGTACAGGAGGGAAAAAAAAATTAGCAAAGAACTTGAATGGAATTGCATACATTGAATTGTTTTGTCTGTGCTGTCTGTACATTGCTTCTGCTGCTGTGATTTCTAAACCTATGCTGTTATTCAACTGACTTTTTTTTGTACTTTGACCCACCTTTTTTTGAGATACCAGTAAAAAACAAAGTTCTTGAAATAAAACTTTTAAAAAAGTTATCTATTTTCCTGATGTCATTATATCCACTCCCTACCCATTCTTATCAGTTTGAGTTGAATTCTTGCCTTCATTGAAGATGTATATTTAAATATGTTTGAAATCCCAGAAGTGGTTTATATCGCCAACTATTAAGAATGCTCTTTTATTCTTTCATAAATATTTATTCAGCTTACTCTGAGCCAGGCACTGTGCTAGATGCCGAGAATAATAGATGAATAAGTTACATCTTAACCTCAAGATGTTAACAGTCTGTTTGAGAAACAGACTTCTTATAAGTAAATAATACAGCGTGTTAATATTATAGTAGAGGGAGACCACTCATAAAGTTAGGAAGGTAGTGCTATGTGACTAAGAGACTGTGTGAGAGGGAGGCGCCCTAGGTGATAAGGCTGTAAAGGGCGATTTGGAGCAGATTGTGAAGAGCCTTGAATGCCAGTCAAGGACAGGGTCAGGTTTATTTTTAAAAAAGATATCTCTGGAGATAGTAGTGAAAGCAGATTTGAAGATGGGGATTTTAGCAATCCAGGCAATTAATATAACCTATTGCTGTCAGGTTGATTTTGAATCATAGCAATCCTATAGGACAGAGTATAACTGCCCCATAGGGTTTCCGAGGCTATAATCTTTATGGTACATTGACAGAGAACTACCGGAAATTCAAGCTAGATTCAGAAAAGGATGTGGAACGAAGGATATCATTGCTGATGTCAGATGGATCTTGGCTTAAAGCAGAGAATACCAGAAAGATGTTTACCTGTGCTTTATTGACTATGCAAAGACATTCGACTGGATCGTAACAAATTATGGATAACATTGTGAAGAATAGGAATTCCAGAACACTTAATTGTGCTCACGTGGAACCTGTACATAGACCAAGAGGCAATCATTCAAACAGAGCAAGGGAATATTACATGATTTAAAATCAAGAAAGATGTGCATCAGGGTTGCATCCTTTCACCATACTTATTCCGTCTGTATGCTGAGCAAATAATCCAAGAAGCTGGACTACATGAAGAAGAATGTGGCGTCAGGATTGGCGGAAGACTCGTTAACAACCTGTGATATGCAGATGACACAACCTTGCTTGCTGAAAGTGAAGAGGACTGGAAGCACTTACTGATGAAGATCAAAGACTACAGCCTTCTGTATGGATTACACCTCAACATAAAACAAAAGTCTTCACAACTGGACCAATAAGCAACATCATGATAAATGGAGAAAAGATTGAAGTTGTCAAGGATTTCATTTTTACTTGGATCGACAGTCAACACCCATGGAAGCAGCAGTCAGGAAATCAAACGATGTATTGCATTGGACAAATCTGCTACAAAAGACCTCTTTAAAGTGTTCGAAAAAGCAGATGTCACTTTGAGGACTAAGGTGCGCCTGACCCAAGCTGTGATATTTTCAATCACTTCATATGTGTGCGAAAGCTGGACAATGAATAAGGAAGACCAAAGAAGAATTGATGCCTTTGATTTATGGTGTTGGCGAAGAATATTGAATATACCAGCGACTGCCAGAAGAATGAACAAGTCTGTTTTGGAAGAAGTACTGTCAGAGTGCTCCTTGGAAGTGAGGATGTACTATGTACTATGTACTATGTCTCATGTACTATGTACATGTTATCAGGAGGGACCAGGCCCTGGTAAAGTAGAGGGTCAGCAAAAAAGAGGAAGACTCTCAATGAGGTGGATTGACACAGTGCTGTAACAACGGGCTCAAACAACAATGATTGAGAGGATGGCACAGGACCCGACAGTGTTTCGTTCTGTTATACATAGGGTTGCTATGAGTCGGAACCGACCTGACAGCACCAAACAGCAACAATAATCTTCATGGGAGCAGATCACCAATCTTTTCTTCTGAGGAGCCGCTGGTGGGTTCAAACTGCCAACCTTTTGGTTTGCAGCAGAGCATTGTGACCATTGAACAACCAAGGCTCCTCATTTTCAGGTATAGAGTATGTAAATCAGAATTAGATTTGTAAAAGTGTTTATTTAATCAGATGGACTCTTCTCTAAATTTCAAAATGTTTCACATACTTCCCAAGGTAAATCTTGCTACAGTAAATAATAAAAACAAAGGTTAGGATTTGCAGAGTCTGGGGAAAATCTTTCGACAATAAATAGGAAAATCAAGGGTTTGGGATTTACTGGATGTGGGTTTTTAGTTGTTTTCTTAGAAGAAAAGAGGCTGTAAATTCCAGAACCCGATATAAGTAGAACATGTCCTTGCCCCAAGCTATTTAAATCAGATTTATTATAGGTTCGACCCATTTATGAGGTCAGATTCCTCAGATGTTATGGGATGAGCTTTTTTAAGTTTAATAGGGATGGATTAAAAGAATTAACAATTCAAATAGCCAGATTTACTCTTTAGAATGGGGAGCATTTTCGAGAATTTGCCTGTATTCAATCTGTGATAATTCCAATAACTGGAATCTCTATGAGTGTATTTCTGTTTCCCCTCTGTGACTTGTCCTCTCGTGTACCTCATTATTTTTTATTTTATGCTGGACATTGTTTTAAAAATATTGTTAATAGAAATAATTTGAGGCCTAGGATGATTGCTTCCTCTAGAGAGTGTTTTTTTTTTCCTGTTAGGTGCCTGGAAGCACTAGAATTTCGGGGTCACCTTAATCCAGGTTTAAGACTGGAGATTTTCTAGGCAAATGAAGCCAGGCTGCATACTGTGCAAGGGCTGGTTTGCTTCTGCTTCACCCTTCCTCTAGGGCACAATTCTCTGGGGTCACGGCCCAAAGCAGGCAGTGGTTTACCAGTGTCTCACCTTTGATGGGCCCTGTATTCCAACTCCCTCGCCCACATCCAACCCAGCAAGACTTCTAGAAACAGAACTTTTTCTCTAAGCTACCTCTTCCAAATGGGCAAGTGTTCCAGGGCCAAAGTGGTCCCGAATATTGGGCTCACCTGTCTGGATTTTAGTCCTCTCTGCGACCTCAGCGTAGTAATTCTTTTTTTGTTTGTTTTATTTTAAAAACAATTTATTGTTCTAAATACATATAATACAAAATTTGCCATTTTAACCTTATTTATTTAGCCTAGTAATTCTTAAGTATCTTGTTAGCTGTTTGATGATTTTCAGATGTCTGTACAGTTTTTTTGGTTGTCCTTAGTGGAACAGTTGGTCCAATTTACCTAATCTCCCACTTACTGACAACAGAAGTCCTCTGTTTTCATCTTGGGACTCTTGACCAGATGGTGTTCAGCTGTTGCCATGAGCTCAGTCTGCTCTTTGCTATTGGGTGGGACTATATATTGGAGTGCTGGGTTCCAGCCTGTGTGTGTTAATGGTTTTCTAACCTGACTCTTACCCACTTTGGGGAGTTTGGCATGATTCTGCTTAGGACCTCCTGTATTCTCTGATTTAGGGGACTCATCTTTCTTGGGTAGACTTCTCTGAGATTGTATATGAAAGCACTTTGTAAATTCTAAATCCCTATTCAGACTTAAGTGTTGTTACTGTTGTGTTTTGTTTTGTTTTTCCCACAGTTATTTTGAAGTGCCTTTAGCTCTATCCCACCTTCTCAGCACATGCAGGAGGGATAGGAAAACCCAAATCAGAAGGGTAACAGGAGACAGGGAGGCCTATTGAACAGAGTTACCAGATGTTGCCAAGAGTCTTTTGCCCAAAAAGGGGCTGAAGTGTTAGAATTGGATATACTGATGTCTATCTGTGGCTGGTCCTCTTTCCTGCCAGAGTGGTTGTGCATCTTGATGACTGTGATCCATAGGGCTGGCCAGCATCCTCTCTGGGGACCCTCCAGCTCTTCTGTTTCCTCCCCCTCTTCCCAGTGATTGCCTGCTTGGGCATTCCCACTTTAGCGCCCTAGGGCTTTCAGACAAATGTGCTGTGTTCCCTTCTCTCTGCTTTTTCCACCCTACTCCATACCCTGCTCTGGGTCCCTCCTCTCTAAAGAGAGGACAGACTGAAAATGTGGGAATCTTAGGCACCATGGAGGAAAAATCACTTGGGGAGCCCATCAGCATTGATAAGTTCATTTGACTGAGGAGAAGTGTACGTGCAATGCTGACCCATCTGTCCACACAAGGCACATCCTTTACACATACATCACTCCTTAACCATTTACAGTACAGTTTCCTGTCTGTGTTCTCATCACATCCTCATCAGAACCCTGGAGGCTAGGTCTTGGGACTGGAAAGCATCAGCAGCAGTATTAGAAGCTAGACTCTGGACTTCTATTTCAGTGCCCTTTCCGCTTGCATCACTTCACATCACACTTGATGCTTGATTAACAGTTCTTGTCCTTTTCTCATATAATCTATAGAAGTAAAAAGGTTAGCTTGCACTCCAAAAACCAGCACTGAATACTGGGCTCAGAGTTATAAGTCCTCTTCATTTGGGAGCCTTGTGACCTCTCTGAACTTCAGGTTCTTTGCAGTGCAGTGAATTACTTAGTATGGCCCTTCTAGCCAAGCATGGTCTTGTAATTACCATAAAATGACTGGGTGGTACTATGCAAATAAGGTGAGTGTGAGGATCCAATAGTCTGCTAATGCAAATAAGGTGAATGGAACCCTTGTGGGGGTGGCTAATGCAAATAAGGTACATGAAACCCTTGCAGGGGATTGCTTAGTTGGTGGTCTTGCTGGGGCTGGCAGGGAGCATGCCTTGAAATTGATAAGGAGCTTGCTATATAACCAGCTTACCTAACAGGTTTTAGGAGAGACAAGAAGTTGTAACACTGAAGACGGCGAGAGACAGCAGCACAGCAGCAGCAAGAGCGATGGTGGCACAAGAGGCTGTACTGGGGCTTGCCCACCCATGGAGCTAGGAGCTGTAACACCTGGGGGCTAGAATAAACTGTCCTGATCAAAGAACTGTATCCTGAGTTATACCCTGTTACTTCCCTAATACCACTTAACTGTAAGTACAGATCGTGAGTTCTGTGAGACATTGCAGTGAATTAGGGAACCCAAAGATGAGAGGGAGAGTACTGAGGGGAGGAGGAGCAGTT